TAAACCCACCGGTTCCGGGACACGAACCACGGTCGACTACGTGGGAGTCCAGCGTCATAGCCATTACGCTAACTGCTGGTTCCCAAATAATTAATTCTTTTAAAAAAGGCAAAAATGGTTACAGTGCAGTTTCGCTGCTCTTCACATACTGCCAGCTCTGAAGTAAAAATTCTGCTTTAATTGTTATTTTATTGCTATGGAATATCACTGTTTGTCTCTTTTAGTGCTTTTCATCTTCAATTCTTCTGTTTGTTATATTAAAATTGTTGGGACCAGCAGTTAGCGTAATGGATATGTCGCTGGACTCCCATGTAGTCGACTGCGGTTTGTGTCCTGGACCTGGTGGCTTAAAACTCACACCGGGCGTGTGTGTGTGCGTGCCCAAGATCCCGAGAGGAGAATGGAGGAGAAGGGATTGCGGCGTGGCCATTGCCCCTAGGGGGTGATTTCTCGCTTTCTGTCTCTCTGTCTCTCTCTGTCTGTTTGGCGAGCGCACACGCCCTATGACAAAAATCTCTCAAAAAAAATGGTAACATATATAATATAATTCTTTGTTTGATGTGCTGGGAAAATATTTTGATATTTAAACCCATGTGTTTTTACCCAACATGTAATGCTTTCTTCATTTAGATAGCTAGACTCTGAGTCATCTTTTGCCTTTAGGGAGATTGTCATAATAGAACCAGAATACAAAAGAGGCAAATTCTTGGCTTGCACGTTTCAGAACTGCAGCTCAAGTGTGAGACCTTCTGAGCGGTTCCTCCCTCTCCCGGTGAGTTATGCCGTTTGCTCTGCTAATTCTCTTTTTAGATGCTGCCTCCGCCCATCATGGAGATGGTTGTCTCATTTTTGGTGTTAAGAATTTTCCTCAAGTATTTTGTCCTTCTTGGTTGACTGTTCATCTTAATTTCTGAAGTTCCCTGTTGGCTTGTACGTGAGTGCTGAGTCTGTCTGTAGCCAGTAATTCCCGAGGAGTTTAGACTTGCCGATGGGTGTGTTGGTACCCATTCTCCTGCGACTGGGGGACCACTGCATCATTGCTGGGGCACTGCAGTGCCCGCCTCTCTGGATCAGGGGCCTTGTCCTTTGCTCACTGTTACTGCTGCTTCTGCTGCTTTTTCTTCTTCTTCCTTAATTCATGATAGAGTGTGTGTGTGTGTGTGTGTGTGTGTGCGTGTGTGTGTGTGAAAGAGAAAGTGAGAGTGAGAAAGAGTTGCACCTCTGGCAGGGTAGAATCATGCCCTGACCCCTTTTCCCCAACCACCAGCTCGTCAGGCTCTTGGGCACGTATGTGTGCACCTAGCCCGTTTCCGGTTGACTGGGCCAGGAAGCCGTGTGGCTAACCCTAACTCTAACTCTCACCCTAACCCTTTCTCCTTTCCTTCCCTCTCTTTCTTTTTCTCTGGTGAGCACATGTGTCCTCTAGTTTAAAAAAATATATATATGTGTGTGTGTATATATATGTGTATGTATATATATGTGTGTGTGTGTATATATATATCTGTATGTATATATGTGTATGTGTATATGTGTGTGTATGTATATATGTGTGTATATGTGTGTGTGTGTATGTGTGTGTGTGTAAACAAAGAGAGAGAAGTCTTCTACCCTAAACCTTCCTTTTACTCCACTTTCCTCTCTAGCTTTTATCCCATTTCCTTTCTCTCCTTCATAAACTACCCAAAAGAGTCACCTACATTAGCAGATTCCAAGCTCATCTCTGCACCCTCTTTAGCTTCTACCTCTTATTACCGTTAAAGAGTACTCACTCTGATCTCCTGACCTCCGTGATAGTTTTAAAGTACATCTATGTCCACAGATTCTTTTTCCCCCCAAAGATTTATTTAATTTTATTTATGATTATTATTACTTTTAAATTTGCTGTAGGACACATGTGCTCACCAGAGACAGACAGACAGAGAGGCGGGGGGGGGAGAAAGCAAGCCACCAGGTATGGGACTTGAACTGCAGTCAGCAATGTGAAGTCCAGTGGCCCAACCACCATGCCACCCACTGGTCCTGTTCACAAAATCTTTTTTTTTTTTTGGTGGCTTTTGCCTTAGAGTGTATGCCCTCGCTGGGGAGAGACAGACAGACAATGAGAGGGAAAGTGAGAAATCACTCCCCGGGGAGATGGCCACATTGTAATCCCTTTTCCTCCATTCTTCTTCAGGGATCTTGGGCACACATGCACATGTGCCAGTGTGAAATCCAGGCCACCGGGTCTGGGACTCGAACTGTGGTCGGACACATGGGAGTCTAGCAATTTAACTGCTATACCATCTGCCGGCCCTCACAAATGCTTAAGTACTCCTCTTTCAAAAGGTAGATTAATTCCCTTCCCCTTAAGTGTGGGTTGTACTTAGTAATTTGCTTCTGATGAACAGAATGTCCCAAAAGTGATGGTGTATGACTTCTGAGGCTGGGTCATCACAAACACAATGGCTTTGAGAAACCATGTTGTGAGTTACAGAGATGAGCGATGATTGAATGTAACTAAGAAATCATAAGATCGGGGACCAGCAGTTAGCATAATAGCTATGTCACTGGACTCCCGTGTAGTTGACCGTGGTTCGAGTCCTGACCCGGTGGCTTAAACTCACGCTGGGCGCGTGTGTGTGCGTGCCCAAGATCCCGAGAGGAGAATGGAGGAGAAGGGATTGTGGCGTGACCATCCCCCCTGGGGGGTGATTTCTTACTTTCTATTTCTCTGTCTCTCTCTGTCTTTCTGGCAAGTGCATGTGCCCTATAGCAAAAAATTCTTAAAAAAAAATTTTTTTTTAATCATAAGATTGAAAAATGGGGGAAAAACCAACAACAACTGGGAAAGCTTTTTACCATTAACAGGGATGTCTAGGTCCCTTCAGCCAGAGATGTGGATTTTAATTACGGCAGAAATGGTCCAGGCATTGGTGTGTTCTAAAAAGTTCTCCATGTGATTCTGAAGTGGAGCCAGGAGAACTCTCGAATGTGAAAGACCCTAACACCCACACAGGCAGGTACAGGCATGCCGGCTTTGGAGGGATTCTAAGGCCGGAGCAGAGGCAGACTCACCTGTGCCAGGGGCTGTTCACAGTGGGGATCTCAGAGAGCGGAGGGGAGAAGACCCTGTAGGGGGATGCAAGCCCGAGGCAGAAGAGAAAAGCCTGGGTCTCGAACTGTGAGACGAGAAAGTCTGCCCAGATAGTGAAGAACGAGGGGCGGGCGCCACAACGCCGTGGATGAAGCCCTGTAGGTGCGGCCAGGAGCCTGTCGTCCTGCTCCCTGGAGAGTCCCGCAGAAAGAGGCCCTTCTGGGGAGGGAAGCAGGTGTGTCTGGTGGCAAGGGTATGAGGTCTGTGCATGGCTAGGCCAGGCAGGGCTGAGAACTGGGGGCCATGGCAAGAGGTTCTGACTACCTAAGAACCCATAATTAGTCTCCAGCTTGGTTGTAATAAAAAATAAATAATAATTATAATGAATGAAAAATATTGAACGTTGTCTTTCAAATAAAAATAAGCATTATTATGTGTAAAAACCAACCAACTGGCCAGCCAACCAGCCAACCAGCCAGCCAGCCAGCCAGAACTGCCGTGGCTTCACACCCCCCTCTACTAGACTGTTGGCTCGGAGCGAGGTTAACGGCCTCCAGCAGCCGTGGCGACATCTGGACAGCATCCTTGTGAGGGCCTCTAAGCCACAACTGGACAGGCGGGCCAGGCTGGTCCCAGCTCCCGCACTTTCAGAAACTGCCCGAGTGTCTCAGCCTGTGCTGCTGTCGCGGAGTGTCAGGGCATTTACGGAGACCGTGAATTTGTTTTCTCGTAGTTCTGGAGGCTGGGAAGTACCAGACCAAGACGCCAGCACTTGGTGTCCGGTGGGGGCCTCCTGCTACATCCTCCAGAGAGGAGTGCTGTGTCTGCGTAGGGAGGAGGAGAGGAAGAGCAAGCGCCGTGGATGTTTCTTTTTGTTGTTGTTTTTGAAAGGTTTTTGCTATACGGTGCGTGCACTTGCCAGACAGAGAGACAGAGAGACAGAAAGCACCCCCAGGGGGCATGGCCACACCGTAATCTCTTATCCTCCGTTCTCCTCTCAGGATCATGGGCACACACGCACACGCCATGAGTTTAAGCCACCGGGTCCAGGGACTCAAACCACGGTCGACTACATGAGAGTCCAGCGACATAGCCATTACGCCAACTGCTGGTCCCTCCGTGGATGTTTCTTAGAAGATTTTTAGAAGGGCGTTCATCCTGGTAACAAGGGAAGGCCCTTATGGCCTAATTGCCTCATACAGCGCCGCGCCACCTCTTAATATTGTTACATTGGCAACACCTGACCTTGGGAAGGGACGCCTTCAAACCGTCCATGAGCTAATAAACACTTGTAAGCTGCTGCAGTTTGGGGTATTCTGTTGTATGGCAGTAGATAACCATTACAACCTTCTTGTTTTCTTTAAGGTTTTCGCCATAGGGTGTCCGTGCCTGCTTGAGAGGAGAGACACAAAGACTGTGAGGGGGAGAGTGAGAAATTACCCTGCAGGAAGACATCTACGCCGCAATCCCTCCTCCATTCTCCTGGGATTTGGGGCACACACACATTGTACCCGGCATGCCTTTCGAGCCACTGGGTCTGGGCTCCAACCGCGCAGCTAGCCATGTGGGTCTCGTACCTTCACCAAAGCTATCTACTGGCTGGACCTTCACGTCTTCATAAAGAATGCTTTGACTTCGCAGCGGCATCTGCTGTTACTCTCCCTCTGAAACGTTGTTCTCTCTTTTTCAGAAGTGCTTGCCTCAGGGCACGTGTGCTCCCCAGAGAGAGAAAGACACAGTAAGGGAGAAAGTAAGAATGATACCCTAGGCGGGATGGCCGCACCACAATCCCTTCTTCAGGGATCCTGGGCATGCCTGCACGTGCCTGGTATGATTTTGAAGCCACTGGGTCTGAGGCACTGGGTCTGTCTGAGACTCAAACTGCATTCGGCCATGTGGGAGTCCAGCAACGTAACCACTCTGCCATCTGCTGGTCCCGGCCCTCTTCTCTTTCAATCTAATTTCTTTTTTTCTCTTCTCTTCTCTCTCTCCTATTTTCTCTCTTCTCTTCTCTTCTCTCCTCTCCTCTCCTCTCCTCTCCCCTCCCTTCCTTCTTTCCTTCCTTCCTCCCTCCCTCCCTCCCTCCCTCTCTCTCTCTCTCTCTCTCTCTTTAACTCTCTTTCTTTCTTTCTTTCTTTCTTTCTTTCTTTCTTTCTTTCTTTCTTTCTTTCTCTCTTTCTAGAAAGATTTTTATAGGGCATGTGTGCTCTCCAGAGAAACAGAAAATGAGAAATCACCACCCCAGGGGGAATGGCCACACCACAATGCCTTCTCCTCCATTCTCCTCCTGGGATTTTAGGCAGGCATGCACACACACACTCAGCTTGAGTTTTAACCTGCCAGGTCTAGGACTTGGACCATAGTTGACTACATGGGAGTCTAGCAATGCGACCATTATGCCATCTGCTGGTCCCCTCAATCAAATCTCTTTCTTGGAGTTCTTAGCTGTGCAGCAAACATGCAGTTGACATGTGACTGTCTTCTCCATTCCAGACCTCTGCTCAGAACGGTTTGCTTCTGTATCAAACTGTCTGTTCAGCATTATCCTTGAGTATCGTGAAAGCATCTCAGTCTCTCTGCTCCAAGAACAAACTACTTTTTCTTCAAAACTCGGTTCTCTGTATTTTCCGTGTCAGTGAATGGCACCACCACCCGTCCGATTGCTTATTATGGCCATCCACGCACTTCCTCCCCCAAAC